AACAAAAACCAAAGTCGTGTCAAACATTCCGAAGTTGCCATTCCAATTTGGACTTTAAAAGCTTTCAAAGTACCCAACAATTAACTTGGTTAAAGGCGAAGCTGTTATTTTACATTAAATCGTTATTTTAACATAATTTAAAGCAGTTTGTCTTAATTACCTTGCAACAAAGAGATCCGGTGACGGATTTATTGTATAGCTCGTTTATTATATTCAAGAGTAGAAATTAAGTGTACAAATTAGCAATTTTAATTGTTTGATATACGAGGGAACGAAGGTAAAGCTCCAAGTAACTATGATACTGAATTATGTAAATTATGATAATACAAAATGCGTATCTCGTCAAGAAATTGTATGAATATTAGACGTAATATAAGAAATTGTAGTAACAATTAGACTTATAAAGTACTTTGAGCAGAGAACAATTTTAGACAAAACTGTGTTAGATTGAAAGGCTTAGTTTGGAAGTGACATTGGAGAATTATTTGGGTTTAGATTGAATGCCTAACACTAATGTCGTCGCTCACCGAATTGTTAGCGTTCTTTACCAAACTTTTTAGATTAGAGCCCTTTTAATATTACCTTCTATTACTATATTAATATTATAAAAAGTAAAGTTCCTAACTTTGTTTATTTGCAAGGGGTATTTGCATCTTTGGAAATGCTGATCCGATCATGAAAATTCTTTCTCTTTTCGAAGCTACATCATACGCGATTTAAACAGATATAATAATTAACATAGACCAAATCGGAGGAATACAACTAGTTATTTGTATTTTTATTAAATAGAAGCAATATTCCTCCGTAATTTGGAAAATAAAGCTAACTTCGAAATCTGAATGTTTTATTGAAATATTTTCCTGTCAAAAAGATATTCATATCATGTATGATGTTTCGTTTGTCAATATTGATTTTATAGAATTTCAACCTTATGTCTCAGCAATAAGCCATTGTTTCAATACAATAATAAATTTTTATTCAGGCGACCTTTTTTGTATTAGTTTAAAACTTCCTTCGAAACTACGAACAAATATTATTATACAACTTTCAGAGAGTAAAGAGGTAGATAAACTGTTATTATAAAACTCGAGGTATCATATTTTGATGCAAATAAGTAAACATAATACAAAAAAGCCCAGTAAAGTTATATAATATACGTAATTTTATCTTTAAATAATACCCTTTTTTTACACTTAATGAAGTTTGTTGTTAGTTTAAATTGCTTAAAAATAAAATAAAAAATAACTATATCAAACAGCTCTTAATGAAAACAAATCTCCTAAGTTAACCTATTCATAACTGAAATAAAATAATATAGTGTGCCGAGACCACGAGCAAGCCATCAATAGTGTTTGGAGGTACAGGCATCATTAATTTTTTTTTAAATAATATAAATATCAATTTAAAAGAATCGAAATTTTATCAATAATACTAAATAATATGTTCGTGTTATATAGTTTACTAACAGTTAGTTGCACAAACGTCCATTAAGGTTTAATGACGCCTTTAAGCTTTAATGAATGTAAAATTTGTATGGGCAATGTCGCTGTAAACTCATGAAAAGTTTATTGGACGTTTGTGGAACTGGCTGTATGAATAAATATGTTCATAGAGATATCACGGCTATAATATATTTAACTAATGAAGAAATAATGAAAATTTGTAAAATATTTGCATAGACTGAATTCGCTATACAAAATATGGAATTTCTTAATAAAACTATACAATAGTATCCAATCAAAATCCCGACAATAGCAATATTGAACTCCATCAAAGATTAATTTCGATGAATCACACGTTCTCAAACTATGTTATCAAACTACTAAAGCTTTGATATACGGCCTCGAACCCCTAGAGTTGGCAAATTGTCATGAACCTTAGTCAACCCTCATTACGGAATGCCCAATTAGATGCTATAACATCGTTAAGCGCAATCAAAGAAGGTACTTGTGGCTAATAAATGTTTGTGATACACAGTGTAATAACATCAAAAGACAGTTTTATGGCTGTAACTAGTTCCTGTTTTCACATAAGAGTCAACTTCATAAGTGTAATTGGAAAAGTATTGATTATCATTGAAAGAAAAGAAAGGTGCTGTTATAATACGTCAGATTTATTCATTTTGCTTACCCTATTCAGGGCATACAGTGTACTAAATTAAACTTTACTTATCTTATGCTAAACATTGTAGAACGCTTTAAATTATCGAATTAAATATATGTCTTCCTATCATATATAAAACCAAAGACTCTTTGTAAGGTAGTCAGAGAAAACTTATAATTGTGTTCTAAAAAAATATGTTGTACAGATAAATCAAACAAATACTAAAATAAAATCAGTAAAAAGAATTCTTTCGGCTGTCAAGGTAAAATGCTTGAACAATGATGAAAATATCCTTACTTGTAGCGCAATTAATAGATGCATAAGACATTCATCGGTCTAGCTAACGTCACGGGTAGCAAGTTAAATCAGTCACCTCGATTGCTTGTTAATAAATAAATATAACAAATTCGCAATCAGTTGTTCATGAAAGACAGAAAAAAATCAAAAACCATTCGCAGCAATCCAACACGAAACATCAAAAGCTTAATGGCGCCCTCGGAAATCTCATTTCGTTACGTACCCCTTATTTTCCGCATATAAATTAAGTCATAACTCATACGGATCCAGGTCATGCTACACTAAATCATTTGCGTGTACCCGCATTACTTCTGTCCGCAATTGCCGGTCGAAATTATTAACTAAATAGCCATGTCCCTTTGAATTCGCCTCAGGGAGAATTATTGCTAAGGGAGTTATTAAGTAATAAGGGGTGTTCTGTCGCAATGCCACAATTATGAAAGATAATTTTATGATTTAGGATTAGACAAAGTTTTTAACTTGTATAAGCGAGTCGAGCTTTCCTGAAATAAGCTATTTTGTGATAATTTAATCAGAAGTGGTGAAAAATATATGCTAAACTAAGAATGTTCCACAAACAGTATGTAATCTAATGTAAATTTAAAACAACAAATCACTACACATGTCAAAAAGACTCTTTTTTTGATAATTTTTTGTTTAATAAATATTTGATGCGAAAAATTCAGGTTTCAATTCCATTAGAGCACCAGGTTTACCAATGAGAGATTTCTCCTTTAAAAAATAGCATTCCACGAATCCATTACGTTAATGTCTTCATTGGAACCGCTTCACTTTATTGGTGGTTGGTAAATGAAATGCATTTCTGCGGTTTCTATTTTGACAGCAATGTATTTTCATCAAGTTAATTTTCGACACCAACTCATTTGCTGTTGTGATTAAGAATTGATTCAGTTACATTTTAAATAAATAAATTTTAAATATAATCATGATATTTCATAAATGCTGCGGTCGCGATGCTATATTTTATATGGAAATTATGTTATTAAGAAATATTTTTAACGTTATTCCAGAGTATCTTAATATTTCTTTTATCTGGCACACAACAACAAAAAACATCAAAGCATGTCATGTCATGTCTTGTCATGTGACGAGACTATAGTAATCCCCCTTAAGAAGTTTTTTTTTTAATTATACTTATATTTTTTCTATTCGCTTTTAGTCGGTTTTACGATTTGCTGTTACTGTCGTCGGGAAGTGTACGGGAATATAAGAAATAAAAAGTGAGTAGTGTTTTTATTTATATTTATTACTTGCTTTCTGTAATTTAACCATCGGGTCAAGCTAGCAAATAAGCATACGATCTAAGCATATACTAATGCTACCTATTTATCATATTTATTATACTGTTTACACAATTCCACCATTTACATATAGTACAGTACAGTGTAGTCAATTCCATAACTCTATCTTTAACTTCAAACCTCTTTGAGCATGTTCGTAAAATTATATTTTTTCGTAGAAAGCCCAAATGTCTTTTATAAGTTTACTTTGAGAAATTTAATTTCAAAATAATTCTTCTTAAGTAAAATCTTTGAAGTTTATTAATTATATCTAAGAAAACGATGACGCCAGCTTTTTAATTCAAGTAGCTACTTACACCGAGTCTTCCTGGCAAATTGCCTGTAATTACCTACTCAGAGAAATAGTTTCTTAAGTAATTAATCACCTTGACAATTTTATGGGCTCATTAAGCAATTATTTCCGTTACAAAAGTATTTTTCATATCTGCTTAAATACTGGTTTTTATTTAATATTATCAATTCAAACTCAATAAATGTGCTGTTAGGGTTGAACCAACGAATCTAATATTTCTCTTTGTTATATTATTTAAATTTATGATCAGGATTCATAATATTTATATTTTTACAAATTTAAAGAGGTTATTCTCAATCGTATCTTTGTTGATCTCGTTGGCATATTAAGATAGCGCGTTCGGAGTGCAGTGTAGTTACTTTAGCAAGAACTGGTCATTGGATGGAAACCAAAAATTTTTTATCCAGGACTTTCCTTGCTTCGGTCAAATGAAGCCGTTGGATCTAGTTGCATCTGCGGTTAATAATGTCCAAAGTCTACTGAGCCTACGTGGTATAATGAAGGTTTGAGTACCTGCAATGGGGATATTAGTAAACTAAATGAGGATTGCGAGATAATCAATTATCATAATTCTTCATCGCCTTTGCCCACTCTAGAGTTAAGAAATCTGATGTTTAATTATTTTTATGTGTGTGATCAATAAAAAGTTATATCTATCTGTCTATCAATATTTTCATAAAAATTAATAACTAAACATCTCTAAGTTTAGCCATTGCTCCAAACTGTTCTGTATAAATTGGTCTAAAATTAACCACTACATTCTACATCAAATATGTTCTAACTAGTGCCTTTCTCTTGGGCTTAAATGACTCAGTTGATACATTGTTTGTTTTAAGTTTTATGGCACACAGATTTGTAGCGAACGATGCAATCTACCAGAAAATTAATCTCTGAGGGATTATTTAATTGAGTTTTATTATGTATTTGTATTTTTGTTGTCTCCTACTTGACACTTGTTCCAGATTATTAATGAAATTCGTTTCCGTTAATCCATTATTACATTTTCTTTATTTATTTATTCAAACACACTTGCCGGTTTACAATTCGTAGCAAAGCGCCAGCTAGGTAATAAATATGTTTTTATATGATGTCAACAATAAGTCAATTAAATAGACAAAACGAAATTACATACATATTATACAAAATTTAAATTGATATTAACCATAATTAAATATATATGATATTATTTCAATTATATTTTAAATTATAATGTCATACTGAGATATTATTACATAAACATGGATTTTATTACATAAACATGTCAGATTATCGGTAAACAAATCTAGATCCTCGTGCTGAACAAGTATATCACCCAACAGAGAGAAAGCACGTACATTAGGAGCACGCGCAGCACTTCTGGTGCGCGTCACAGGCCGTGCAAGTAACTGAAGCCGGCGGAACGGCGCCACTAAACCAGAACTATCGCTGGTCATACGCGTAGGTACAAAAAGGTTAAGACTCTCCAGCACCATGTGACCATCAATCTTCTGATTGAATATTGACAGAGACTGTAGAATAAGAGCCATAATCCTCCTAAAAGCCAAGGTTTTAAAAACAACCATTGTAGAAACAAGAAGGGATGGACATTAATTTAGGTAATAATCTTCTTGTATAACCATATAGCAAATTTCTTTATACGTATTCCTCGCATGGACCCCGAATAATTACTGCGTATTCAAAAGTCTACAGTACAAAATTCATTCCGTCATTATACAAAATTATAGCAACTGTAGCACTGTCAAAATTAGCTGCTGTTCTCAATATAAAACTTAATATCTTATTAGTTGTGTTACATATAGTTACGATCGGTCGCCTCCCGCATCCAGCGGCTTCCCGCGACCTTCACCAGATCGTCGGTCCACCTTGAGGGGCTTGCCAATACTAAGTCTCCCGGTACGCGGTCGCCACTACAAGACCTTACCGCCCCAACGGCCGTCAGTCCTGTGAGCGATGTGCCCTGCCCACTGCCACTCGAGGTTCGTAATTCTTTGGGCTATGTCGGTTACTTTCATTCTTCTACGGATCTCATCATTTCGGATTCGATCTTGCAAAAAAACCCCGAGCATAGCCCTTTCCATTGCCCTCTAAGCGACTTTGAGCTTCCTTATGAGGCCCATAGTAAACGGCCACGTCTCCGTTCCATGTGTCATCACTGGCAACACGCACGAATTGAAGACTTTCGTCTTGAGACACTGCGGTAGATGTTCCCAGAATACACTGCGTAGCTTTCCAAACGCTGCCCAGCCGAGCTGGATCCGTCGATTTACCTTTCTCTGGAAGTTGGACTTCCAGGACTAGGTAAACGTACTCGTCGACAGCTTCCAGTGTAGAGCCTCCAACGTTCACTAGAGTGGGTACGACATGGGAGTTTGACATTATTTTCGTCTTCTCCATGTTAATTTTAAGACCCACTTGTTGGGAAACTCTACAGAGATCTTTGAGCACTGTGCTTAGATCTTCCATGGTCTCAGCCATGACTACGACATCATCAGCGAAACGAAGATGCATCATGTACTCGCCGTTTATATTAATGCCAAGTCCTCTCCAGTCCAAAAGCTTAAACACGTCCTCCAGTGCGGCAGTGAACAGTTTTGACGATATAACATCGTCCTATCTCACTCCACGCTGAAGTCGTATTGCTTCCGAATTTTGGTCCTGGAGCCGAACTGACATGGTGACGTTTTCATATAGTGACTGCAACACTTGGATGTATCGATAGTCAATTTGGCACCTCTGGAGTCACCTAAGCACGGCCCAGGTTTCGATAGAGCCAAAATCCACAAACTCATAGTCAACAAATGCCAAGCACAGTGGTAGATTATACTCCTCGGTCTTCTGTATAACCTGTCACAGCATATGAATGCGGTCTATGGTACTGTAACCTTTTCGGAAACCGGCTTGTTCGGGAGGCTGGAAGCCGTCAAATCTACGTGCGAGACGATTCGTGATGACTCTCGAAAACAGCTTGTACACATGACTCAGAAGCGTGATAGATCTGTAATTCTTCAATTGAGCCCTGTCACTCTTTTTGAAGAAAAGCACCACCACACCCCTGTGCCATGCTTCTGGCGTCTTGCCCTTGATTATGACGGAGTTATATAGCTTCTGAAGCGCTTTCTGTACTGGTAATCCACCCGCTTTCAGAAGCTCCGCTGTGACTCCGTCATCCCCCGTCGCCTTGTTGTTCTTGAGCTGTTTGAAAACCATACTAATCTCGTATAGACTGACGTCCGAGATGTCTTCTGTATAATGTCGGGTTAATTTGACTCTAGAGTCTGTAGCCTCAATTACAGGTTTCTGTGATGTTGCGTACAACTGTCCATAGAAGCGTTCGATCTCCGCCACAAGCTCAGGACGGGAAGTAAAGACTCTGTCGTCCTCCGTCTTCAGCTTCGTCAGCAAGCTCTGACCGAGAGACAGATCTCTAGCGAACACTTTGGAGCCATTGTTCCGCTTAATCGCCTCCTTAATACATTCAGTATTAAATTGGCATATGTCACGTGTGAGAGACTTCGACATCTGTCTATTGAGTTGCCGACGAGCATCTTCAGAAGATTGCAGAACCATTCCACGCCTCTCTTTCATTAGCTTGCTTGTCTGCTCCAAGATCTTGCTTCTTTTTTTTGCAGCGAAGTTTGAGAAATTTTTAACCCACCGTAAGGACAGCTTCTACGATCCTGTCATTGTATTCGTCCACATCCGAGCAGCTCTCCAGGCAATCGAAGCAATTTTGAAGCTCGAGCTGAAAGTGCTCGGGTTCCTGGATCTGGGTGGCTTCAGGACGGAGCGTAGACTTCACCAGTCGATACCGTTCGGCTTTTACGTTTAGATTCAATGCGCCTCTTACCATACGGTGATCGCTTCCCGTATTAAACGAATTGATCACTGAAACGTCATTGAATATCCGAGACTTAGTCGACATGATGAAGTCAATCTCGTTTTTTGTCACCCCATCCGACTCTTCTAGGTCCACTTTCGATGCGGCCGTTTTTTTAAGAAGGAGTTCATCATATAGAGTCCCTCCCTCTCCATGTAGTCGGCTAGCATTTGACCACAGTGATTCCGCATCCCAAATCCAAATTGCCCCACTTTCAACTCCTCATCGCCATGCTTGCCTAGCCTTGCGTTGAAGTCTCCTATGACAACAGTGTAATGTGTCGTGGAACCATGTATTGCCCGAGAAATGTCCTCATACATGGCTTGCTCGTCGGGGAGCGTCGAGATCGGAGCGTAAACCTGTATGACCTTCAGCGAATACCGTTCGATGATTCTGAGTACAGGGTACGCCACCCTAGTGGATACACTTCCGATCTGTACAATATTGTTCACGAGAGACTTGTGGACGATAAACCCGACACCACCTTGGGACAGATCTTCGCCCTCCCAGAAATAGAGCAGGTGGCTGGATTTAAGGATCATCGTGACCTCGCCCTCTCTTCGGACTTCGGATAATCCTACAATATTCCAACGAATCCTGCCCAATTCCTTCTGTAGATCCAGCAGCTTCTCCTCGGTCCGCAGTGTGCGTGCGTTGTAAGTTGCCAGAGCCAAGGTCATTTGACGGGGGATTTTTGCCACCCGGGGATCCTTCGCACCCCTGGTGCCTTCGCCGAGTCGGCATCCGTCCGCACCGGCACGGCTTCCGGCACCGTCGGGCACTCGGGCCTTTCAATTTGGTCTATTTTCATGTCTTTGAGGGGTTTTGGGCCGTCTCCCACCACGCTGGCCCAGTGCGGGTTGGTAGGGAGCGCCAGAGCCTCGTTGGTTAGTCGGCAGGGTATACCGCGTGCAGGTGAGGTTGGCTTGGGATCCGTTAGATATTGTTCGGACCCCCTTATACCCCCTTATTTTGGACTTTTAGATAAGGGCTTTCACTATAAGAGCTTAAAATAACCTTGCTTCTAGAGAATTCTATGCCTGACTCTCATAGCAAGTTGACGGTCAGCTTGATCTTGCTTTCTCAATTCTTCATTTTCAGGGATTTTAGTGCGTGACGCCAAATTTTGTCAATGGATATTCTGCCATCTCTTCAATTTGTAGGTATCCAACGAATATAGTTACAGTCAGTTAGTATTACTATTACTATTATGATACTATAAATTTTAGATGCTATTTTAGACAAATCCGTTTCCTACCTTCAATTTTTTTTTTTAATTTTTAGTGATTCATAATTATCGGCAGTTTAGTACATATTTCGCAAACATAATTTAACGCCCCTCTGTTATGTAATAAAGTATCTCGTTAATAGTCACCCATAATTATTTTGTCGTCTGGAAAATAATTCCCCATTAAAATATATTATTCCATTCCACCCAATAAATATTAAAAAAAAAACAAGTCAAGGGCAAGTCGGACTCGTGCACGAAAAGTTGCCGATCATTTAATAATGATTTGAAAAAGGATGATATGGAATATACCTAATTACAATGACAAATTGAATAGTGTTTGCCATTCTTCCACTCCCATTTTCTTCTCATTGTGTATTTTTTTCTAGATAAGATATAATATACACATATGCTGATGTGGCCCTTTTTAAGAACTTTTAAAGGGGATCAATTTCGTAATACATGATTTTTGGGTAACTTTCACCGTTTACGCAGCGCACACAAGGAAAGCTCTCAAAAGGTAAATATTCTCCCGTTTATGCAATATTTTTCATTGCAGTTCCACTCCTATTAGTCATAACGTGATGTTATATAGCATATAGTCTTCCTCGATAAATGAACTATTCATTTAGAGGAACCAATAAAAATAACAGATAAGGACTGAAAACCGTTAAAATGTGCTCTTGAAATGTGTTCGAGTGGTTTTTGATCTTATCTCTTTGCAGCTGCTGAAGCCAATTACACTGGCCCATTACCCACAAATGGTGTTTTCAAATTGTTTGCAACTATAAATTGTTGCACTGCTAACACGCGGTTGCCCGAAGATTCCAAGATAAGCCGAGACTCATTCAAACTTAACAATGTGCTAACTTGGCTAAGTAGTCAAGATTGTTCACGAGATACTAGTTGAATTAATTTCAAAGATAACTTCGAGCGTTAAAGCGGTTTTGTTAGGAGTTTTCACACCTGCCGTGATTAGGGAGAGGGCATTTAGGTTTTAATGTTTATTCTGTATTACTTCCGAAATTAGGACAGGGCCCAATAACGAGAACCATATAAAGTGATAAGACATCAGGTTTTTTTAATGTAATCAACTCGTTATTTTTAACAAAATAAATAAATCAAAAGACCTTTATGTGTCTCTCTATATGTGTTTTAATGCATAACCAAAGTGTCCTGTTCATCAAGAGTACTTTTAACTTACCAAATAAATGTATTTGATAGAGAATCTACCGTCGACTAAGTTCATAAAAAAACATAAAGGTTAGTTTTAATATTCCTGAAAATATAATGTATATCATATATATAACAAGAAATTGGTACAAAAAAACCTGTTATAAACATAGTAACTATGAATATGGGGAGGAAGAGTGAGAATAACTGAAATAAAACTTAAAATTTTGAACAGAATTTCAATATTAATAAAAGTATAGTTTTAAGCTATTTGAATCGATATTAGAAGGAGAAGGAA